TGTGTGTGTGTGACCACTGACCTTCTCCGTCGTTGAGATCGACTGAGTCCTCATTCTCCTCAGTGTGTTTCGACAGTGACACTGCGTCGTCCTCCGCAGGCTCCACCTCTTCATCCAGAAGGTCGTCCGGATTTTTCTCCCTGGACGTGGCAAAGTTGATGTTGAGCACCTGAGAAAGTTTGGGGAAGATAATAATAATAATAATGTTAATGATAATTATAATGACATTTGGATAACGGGAGCGTTGTGTGATATGTGTCAATTTTTGGGCATGTAGAGTTATTGGCATAAGCTTCAAGCTCGTTTATTTGTCTATATTTCGATGAAAAAAACTACCCATTTATCTTTAATAGAATTTGAGATATTTGTGATTGAAGGAGATGGGGGTCGCTTAGTTTCAGAGGTAAAATTAGCGAGAAAATGGCCGCCAAAAATTTGGTAATTTACATAGCCTGAGAGTTTGTGGGAACTGACAATTTACACAGAAATGGGTTCTTAAACGGACAAAAGGCGTTGAGCCATTAAACAAATTTTCAATAAAAATTGTGAAAAACCAGCGGAAAAATGCCAGTTTCTTCTTTTTCATTACTTTGACGAGCGCCTGATGTCACCACCCTGCCTCACATATACAGTGTGTGTGGGGCAGGGTAAAAACCAATGTGAAATGGAAAAGGTTTAACATCCCCTGCCACACTGTAAGGTTATATAGGAGGCGGAATCTCTTTAACGTCCATCTTTGAAGGGACAAAGCCAAACAGGAAGTTCGTGTAATGTAGCCTACCTTTCCCAAACACACAATGCTGAGCCAAGCTGAGCAATGAGCACCTGACCTTACTTTATGGTATCCTACTTTATCTCATCTCATGCATCCCCTCTTTTCTGATCCAATCTTATTCTATTCCAGCTATCTGATCTGATCTCATCTAATCTAATCTGCTGTATCTATCATAACTTATCTCATCTAATCTAATCTGCTGTATCTATCATAACTTATCTCATCTAATCTGTTTCATCTATTTAAGTTATCTGCCTTGTCCCATCCTGGCTACCCAGGAAAGTTTCCATGCTAGAGCGCCACTGGAACATTTTCATAATCTATGGTGAGAATTCCCACCCACACCACCCTGACCATCAGCACTGCACAGGGCTAACATGGATGGGGTAACAGCTACCCCCAACCAGCATCCTTTTTCCTTGCACAGTGGCCCTCTTTCCTTGCATGGTAGCCTGGCCTAAAAGTTCAAGGCCATGGAACCACATTTGAGAGTTTTGTTTCAAATCCGGGCTGAGCGGGCAAAGCATTTTTCATCTTAGACTGAAGGGAAGGAACTTCTTGTCAGGGTTGAGCGGGCAGGTATGCTATAGAGTCTTCTATTATAAGTTAGAGTCCATAGTCTTCTGGACAGGTATGTTATAGAGGATTTACCAAGGGGGAAGCGGAGAGATTCCGTTACGACAGGTTTCCTCTATGGCAGATTCAGTGACATTTCATTTGAGCTGATCTTCTCTCACCTGTCTAGACTGTTCCTTGGAAAGCTGAGGCTTGAGGTTGGCTTGGTCTGAGGTAAGTGTGGAGTCCGAGTCTAAGTCATAGTCGTAGTTCAACAGCAGCTTCACCATCTTCACGTCATTCTGGAGGGAGGAGGAGAGAAGTGGCGTCAAGACAAGAACATCAACACAGTTGAGAGAGAGAGAGAGA